GACCGGGGGTCCCTTCCCAAGTAAAAGCCCATCCCTCGGAGGGCCGAGTCTGTTCCTGCCCCGCATCTCCTCCCCATTCTCACTGCAGGCTGCAGAAGGCTGGTAGTCCGCAGCTCAACGGTTGACTCGACGATCTTAGAGGTCTTTTCCAACCTAAATAATTGATTCTGTGATTCTATGACTTCTTCCTTGCCGGCCCAGGCAAGGTGCCAGGGCATCCCTGCCCCATACACCCCCCCACACTCCTCGGCATGGAGGTATTGGCCAGCATGGCACAGGCAGTAGACCATTGACAGACTCTGTACTCTGTGAAACAGTGCACCAATCCTTCCTTGTACCTCTTGTTTTCATTTACCCTGGGTAACTGCTGAGCCTGCCTTAGCACTCCAAAGCTGGTTCTAAGGCTGAAATTTGTCTGTGAAGCTCCACTTCCCTTTAGTGGGGTGTACAGCTCTTTAAACGGGTGCTTCCCCAGGGCCATGCCCTCTGGCAGAAAGAAAGCTCAGAAAGACTTTGGTCAAGACCTCCCTCTTGGGAGTAATTTCCACTCTTGGTCCCTGAGACTCTAAGAAAGTAAGATTCTGACACCAGAGTTACCAATCTGCTTTTTGGAGATTAAACCAGAATGTTGTCTCAACAGAATTATGAGTAGCGTTGCTCCAGCCCTTGTCCAGGGAAAGGATCTCTTCCTCAGCAGACCCACGTCCTGAGTCAGGCACAGCCACAGGGCTGTTTCTGACCTCAGAATAGTTCAGACCCTCCTTCCTCAGCATCCCAAGAAATGTATAGTGGTGGGGTCATGGTGTGGTGCTCACTGCAGTGGAAAAACACAGATACTTAGCAGATACTGCAGCATGAGTGTTCTCTATCAACCCAGAGGAGTTTTCCCTTTCTCTGGCAAAATCCCTTTGGAAGTGCCTTCTAGCTACAGCCAAGGCTGTAAGTACCAGCAAAACTTAAACCAGTAACAAATAGAGGTGAATAATTTCTGTTAAATCTTTTACTCTGCTGCTTTTGATACCTACAAACAACTAATGAAATAATTACATAAAGTCAAAGTACAGCAAGGTATAGCTGAAGGGCATTTATAAATGAGAATTGAGATACACTATGTTCAAAACAATACTTATTCTAGCCATACTTACATTTCCTATGATACTTCTCACCATACACTATAAAAAATTTGTGTCATGGACCGTATATTCAGTTACATTTGTAGACTATCTTACAAATGAGGTCCACATGTAGTCTTTGGATACTATTCCACTAGACACGGGCCTAGCAGACAATTCATTACCTATCAATAGTCTCCTTTAAAATCTCTGTAGTAATCTATAAGAACTGAAACACAATATAGGCTTTAAAGCTTGTCTCATCTCTGAAGTAACAAATCTCTTTCATTGTTTATGATAATAATTCATAATGGTATATTTATAGTATTTCTATAAGCTTACATAAAACATTTATTTTACATTTGTAATAAAAAGAAAGTCAATGTTTCATAGATGTCTAAAGTCACTTTTTACAAATGTAGCTGTTTTTTCTTTTTTTTCTGAACACATACTCAGTCTCCATGAGTATGGAGAGTATGAGTATTATCATCATGAAAAGAAGAAAAAACTTTTAAGTGCATTTAGTAATCTTTAAAGAAATGCTAAAATTTACTGAATGTTTGCTAAAATACACCTCTTTATCAGTTTTAAATGATAATCAGGGACAAACTGAAAACATGCATGTGCAACAATTTCTAAATTTCAAATGCAAAAGCCAAAACTAATCCTGTTTTTCACCAGTGCTATGCAATACTCTTAACTTTGTGGCTGTTGTATGGAAGCAAATGAAGGCAAAATATGACCTATGCATCCTCTTTCCATTCATATGAAACTTCTTTAATACTTTTGCTGAACATAAACTGTTCAGGAGAGATATATTATTATTGAATATGGTTTAAATAACTATCCAGCACTTTCTGTGTAATTAATATCACACATATTATGCTTGTAAGTGTGCAATCCATACTTTCAACTCAGTTTGCCAAGTATAAATTCAGAGCTGGGTACAACACAACAGACTATAAAGTCCATGCAGCACCTTAAAGCAATAACATATTCACAAGTGTTGCTCTTCAATTTATCAAGCAGGCAGAATAGGTGCTTTGCCAACACTGGTGACTACAGTATGCCAAGCTATCAGAAGCAATGTTTTCTACAATCACCAATACCATGTGCTAACTTCAATCTAACAGTTCTCCACTTTTGTTAACTACCATGAATTCATCATCCTGTTGTTTCCTTAACCCCTGTAATTGATATGACACAAAGCAACCTTTACATCCATGTTTATGTAACAGTGAAAGTAAACCAGGTTCAGAATTTCTTCAAAGTTGAAGTTTTAGAGACCACTGAACATGTTTTAACTGGCTTCTGGTAGGGAAACAGATATTAATTCAGATAGAAAGAGAACATTAATGAAATATAAATTCTCTAAAGTGATGAATATACAGAAAGGAACCTGTGTTAACTTTTCCCAATGCAACTTAATACCTATCACATATTTCTGAATGTATAACTTACTCATGTGTTTTAATTATCTGAAACAAAAATATGTTATGTTGCCTTCAAATATTAAAACCAATTAAAAATAAAACAGAAGTCTTTTTTCAGCTGACAACTCTTAAATCGATCTTGAATATGTACTGATATATAACTTTCAATAAGTATGTACTTATATAAATGAGACAAAAGAGGCTACCTGACACAAAATGTCTTGTTATCATTAACAGACAAAAAATACCAAGGCTTTGGATACACTTTAAGGAGATAAACTGAATGTCAAATATACAGTTTCAATGTAGTGAAGAGTACAAACTAATCTAATAATTAGTTATTAACGTAGTTTAAATCTTGGAAAACATCTCCAGCAAAATTGTTAATGCACTAGTTCAAAAACTGAATTATTCAATTAAATCAACTAACTGGAAAGGTTTAACCAAAGAAGTTCACAGATACCAGGTTTATATAAGAAAACTCATTAAGAATATTCATGATCTTAAGCAATTAATTGAAATGAGCATGGTAGTTTTGGTTATTTGTCTGAGGCTAATTTTGTTTCAGAGGAAACCATCTAAGCAAATTTGGAAAGAAAATGTCAGGCATCCTCATAGACACAATTAACCATACTCATCCTTGGTGTAACCTCCCTGCAGAAAGCACAATCACACCATTGATTAATTTGGCACTATGTCAGTAGAGTCAGTAGAGTTTGCAGAGAAAGAAAAATTCCTGACAACATATTTGTTTCTTTGTTTTCTTTTCCTGGCAAATTTGCAGACAGTGAAAGTACAAGGGAATGACATCTCCCACAAACTGCAGATTTCAAAAGTGAGGAAAAAGGATGAAGGCTTGTATGAGTGCAGGGTGACCGATGCCAACTATGGAGACCTTCAGGAATACAAGGCCCAGGCATTTCTCAAGGTCAATGCTAACAGCCACTCTCGGCGAATGCAAGCCTTTGAGGCATCCCCAATGTGGTTGCAAGACATGAAACCTCGTAAAAACATCTCAGCAGCTGTCCCAAGTAGCATCCACAATTCTGCCAATCAGCGTGTGCGTGCCACCTCCAGCCCCGAAGCAGCAGCCAAAATCCCCAAACAAAGTCCACAATCAGGTATGGTAAAGCATTTTGAGCTTTCATTTGATTGCTTACCAGCATGCAAAAGGAGGTTAAATCAACAAGGTAACCAGGAATTGTGACTAGGAAGAGTGTGGTGCTCAGTTATTCCTCCTTCTTTCTGGTTCTATTCTTCTTGATATCTGCTTACTTCCTAAAATTTGAAGAATGAATTTCCGAGCAGAAGAAGAAAAAAACCTTAAACTTCTGTATGTGGATTTTATCTCAACTGGTTTTATCCACCTAGGGCTAACTCTCAAATTGAAGTTTAGCTTTCCCTGTAGTGTGTGTGGAGAGAGAGGGCCATGTCAGTGAATGACTCATTTCATTTTAAGATGGCTGTGCATGATAAATAAAACACTCATCCAGATGTGTTTCTTCCTAAGTTATTTTGCATCAGTCACCTAATTTTTTGTATTTCCAATATTTGGTGAAATTAATTTACTTTTAGTATCAATCCTATTTTCATAAGGAACTTGTCTTCTAAATCTAAGCAAACCTTAGATACACCACATAGTTTCTCTGTTGTGTAGGATTTAGAAAGACCATGGGTTTGTCAGAAAATGTGTTGTTGTCATCTGCAAGTGCTTGACCATCAGCTTTAAAACAAGGGTTGAAATGGAAATGCCACCATTCTCTGTCATGTAGAAATGAACATACTACACATTTCGTTTGGGGGATTTTGTTCAGCACTATATAAATAACCTATTATCAATATCAGTCTGCATTTTCTACATTGATACAGTAAAATTCACAGTTATGCAAAGGCTTATGAATATACAGGAGGTGCAGCACTATATGATGGCAATAGAGGATAAAAAATTGAGACATTGAAAATTATCAAATATCCTCTGGAAAACAAACTGTGTAAGTTGAAGGGTTTCTGAGCTACTTCTGTTTACACTGAGGGCCCAATGTAAGGCAGGAAATCACAACATATCTTAAAATATATAATGGAAAATAACCTCATTAGCTCTGATGCATCATTTTTCTGCTAGTGTGTTATTAAATAAAAAGCTGTGAATATCATAAATTTAATAGCACATCTACTGTGAAATCACTTTCATCTTACAGTCATACTATTAGAAAAACTTTTTCATAAGGAAAATACATTTCATTACAGATTGGAACAATATGATTATTCATATGAAAATTCTTATATTTGTATTGCTCCTAGAAAAGCTGGTGTATGTGCTACCACTATTTTATCTCTGTATACATTTTTTAAACTTGTTTAAAAGTTACATCCAGTTCTCCTTCTCTGAAATTGAGCTACTTTTACTTTTTAGCTCTTCCAAAAAACATCTAAGCTGTTAAAAGAAAACAAATATTTCAGTTTATATTAAACCATCATTCTATCATTGCTTTGCTCTCAGATAAATGTATATACTGCTTATTTTCCATTGGACTTATACATTTCAAAGCAGCAGACTTTTCTATAAATGGAAAACTCTGGTTTCTATTCAGTCTATGTGAAATTAATTAAAAGAGTTAGAGGTTTATGAAATATGTAGCAACAGAATACACTGCATTGCAGCCAAAGTATATAAAAAAACCAGCTAATCCACTAAATCATTTTTGATATATAATTGAATCTGTAGTATTGTTTATGTCTTTAGTCCAAGAAATATCTTGACTGATTACTGGACGTTGGCAATTTGAGAGCAGTAGATTATTACATGGAAAGGTCCCTGTAAAAAGAAAAAACAATACAGAAAAACTAATCCCTTATTTTTTACTTGAGCAAAGATTACTGCAGATCAAGTGCAGACAATTACAATCATAAATAATTTAAAAATTAAACCGATAAAAATATAATTTATGTTATAAATTAATTTTTTTTTATGAAAAAGCACAGGCAAACTCTGCATTCATTAGAGGTGTAGCTTATGTACTGAAGAAACAGAGTGTACCAAAAATCACTATTAGGCCTAATTTGAATTTAATAGTCGCTTGCTACACTAATTATTTGTGATATTTTTGATGAGCATTGGTTTAACTCATGAGAACCAAGATTTACTTTCTTTTACTTCAGAAAATCTTGGCCTCACTTTTCCAGCTATGGTGAGATTTGGATTTTCACTCCATTTTACAGTCATTCTACACTAACAGAAATACCCATGAGAACAAAAGGCAGGGAGGGGGTTTAGCTCTATGTAACTTTGAGGAGCAACTTCAGCTGAGGAAAGGGAGATGACAGTTGTGAGACCTCAAAAAAGCAAAAAGAAGTTGTCATAGACATTAACAGTCTTCTTTTTATGATGCAGAATCAACAGTCTCCTTATTTAATCAAATGAGAAACTTTTCCCTTCTTCATCATCATACTAACTATATATATGCATGCACAGACAGCTGTGTGATTACACTATATGTAAGCAGTGTATCCATCCAGCCTAGAACACACAATCATGTTTGAATACAAATGTATCATTATTAACTACATGTTTTGAAAGACATAGAGGTTGATTATGATGTGTTTGTTAATGTTGAGTAATACTGCTTGAAGGGAGAAATATTAGTAACCATAGGCAATTGTATCAAATATTCTCCTATATTAGGGAGCTGGTGCATAGTTATTGGCTAGCAATAAATTTTACTGCCATGATCACAGATTATTGTAAAATACGTTTACAGCAATGGGAAACATGACACTCTGAAATTATTGGGAATTCTCTATTCAGCCATTTCTGAAGAGATCAGCTACTAATATATGAAAAATTGACTCTGATTTTATTAATATTTTATCCCCAAAATTTATTTTTGAAAGGTAGATAGCACTCTATTCGACTTCTATACTGAAGCACACTGCAGAATTTCATTTATTTCTTAACAATAGATATTTAATATGTAGCATATTAAATATCTATTATATAGATATTTATAATAGATATTATAAATATCTATTTATAATAGATAATTTATAAATTATCTATTTATAGATAATAGCAAAGCAGTTTACAGTCACCACCATTTTAAAACATCATCATTTCCCAACTGAATAGATATTTCTGCTATTCTCCTTTACACAAAAGTAAAAATATCTGTGATAACTGCGAGGGAGCTAAATAGCCAGGGCTGACAAATTAAAGTAGTATGAGGTCCATTCAGTATTTTGCACTGTTCTGAAAACACTATGCAAGTGTAAAAAAGAGATATTTATTATTGTTAGTGTAATGGAGATTCAGTATAGGATGAAATAGCTAGCGAGAACAGACATTCCCACAGACAGTCTTCATATAATATACTAAGAAGCCCTAAATGACTAACTCAAAGTCAGAAAAGTCAGGAAAGAAAAAGTCAAAGCTAACACATCTTGACCCTTTCATTTCATAATTATGGACTGCAGCAAATGAAGTAACCCATCACAGCGTAGCAGGAATCTGAATAATTTGACAGGGTAATCTGCATATATCCAGAAATCGTCCTATGTAGGTGGAGTGACAGACTTTTTTCCTGCATAACTCATAACAACCTATCTTATTCCAAAGGCAAGAGCACAGAGTTATGACAAATCCTTGTAACTCTAAACAATGCTGCAATTAAATGGAGTCCAAGAGCTAAAATGACTTCAGGTGAAAGGAAGCTAAATAGTCTCCAGGCTGCACCAAATGTCACTGTTTCATGGATACAAATCTGGACAAACTTTGCTGCCTGAATTCAAGTGACTTAACATTTGTGATAACAAAAAGGTCTGAAGAATTTGTTGTACTGGGAATGTGTATATCCCATTTGTTGTGCTGGAAATGTGTATATTCTCCAAACTCTTCCTGTTCTGCCAATGCTCTGTTAAAGCACTCAAAACCATTAGTTGCTTTTCAGACTCAAGAAGATCAGTCTCAGAGAACTCGAAAAGGGAACAACTACAAATGAAGAAGTGACAATAAGGTTCATTTTCTGTCTGCTTACATATGGACTTTTCACATTTCTAGCAACTTTTTGTTATTTCATGAAGTAACAAATTCAACTATTAACCTAACTACATGCCAAAACTTCCTGTGGATGATAGCAGAGTTGTAGTGAGTGACTTGAAAAGGAGAAGGTGGTCCTTACCTGACAGAATGGTCTGGATTCTTGGCATAATAAATCACACTGAGAAGCTGATCATCAGGCATGAATGCAAAAGAAGAGGGTTAAAACATGTTTCATCTGTGTTGATACTCATAAACCGATGGCATACCTTCCTGTCTCTGTTTTAATCTACAGAATCTAGGAATCTTTTATTATTAATCTATTTTAAGCAAAAAAATTATGTCCAATTTGAAATCTTTTGAGATATAAACCAACTTCTGTGTTGTTGTTTTTTTCTTTTTTATTTATGTTCCATCTCCTCTTAAAGCAAAGGAACAAATGTCTGCTCTAGCCTCCATCAAGGTGATGGCCAACATTACTGTTTTCTTCACTAAGAGAGTCTTTAGGTTTCACAGTTACTCTTTTACAAACTATGAATATCCATAAGGTTGGGAGGCACCAACCCTTATTGTGATTGTGGCACAACAAAAAGTCAAGTCTCTGTTTTCTTAAGACTTCATTAAAGCAAAAGCCAAGCGACAGTTCTGTTGTTATTCAGCTGTTCTCAGAAATTCTTGCAAGATGATAATGCAATGACTATCCCATTTTAAACCTGTATACACTGCAATCTCTGCTTCTACTTGAAATTTAAGCTTTCATTCCCTCTTCCTGAAAAGAAGCTGCTCCACCTTTTTTAGATTCTCTGAAATAATGGAATAAGTTCAAACCATGTTAGTTGATGTAGCCCTAATAACTAGTTAGCTATTAACCTTGGAACTGTAAACATCTTTTGAGAAGTGCTAATCTTCTCCAAACAACTTAGATGGCAATGCAAGGTCTTTATAGCAGCTAACCTTTTTTTTTTTAGGCCAAGTCTTCCCATATAGAATGAACTCACTAATGTCTTATGTTTCTTTCAAAAACCCCACATCTTAATTCCTTATTTTTGCATAATTACTGATCAAACAAAATGCATACAAATACTTAAA